TGAGGTTTTGACGAAATTGGAACCCTTACTCACTGTTGGTGGAAGTGTAAAATGATGCAACCACTATGGAATGTGGTGTGGCGCTTTCTCAAAAAGTTGTAAATAGAAATACCATTTGACCCAGCATTTCCATTACTGGGAAAACTGCTACCCAAGCAGATATATGCACACCCATGTTTATTGCGGCTTTGTTCACAATAGCAAGGAGTTGGAAACAACCTAAGTACCCATCAACAAATGAATGGATAGAGAAGCTGTGGTATATTCACACAATGGAATACCATGCTGCACTGGAAAAACAAGGAACTCATGAAATATTATTCAAAATGGGTGACCCTGATTATGCTAAGTGGAATATCTCCATCAGAAAAGGACAAATACTGCATAGTGCCACTGGTGTAAAACAGGACTGATATCAGGGTTGGCGGGAGACTGAGAAAATAATGTACACTGCATTGAAACAGATGATGGAGAAAACTGTTTAAAAGGAATATGTGATTAGATATTATTATCATGACACAAGTCCAGAATGAAGGCTGCATAGTGGAGTGAACTTGGAGGGAGGGGCTGTATAACAATAAAAGAATTTTTCTTTTCCTTTTCAAAGAGAAGAGAGAATTGGGGGAGGGAGAGGTGGACAGGGAGAAAAGTGCAGCAATGAATGAATGGAAATCTTCAGTCTCTGTAAACTTTCATTAAAATTAATAATAATTAAAAAATAAAAAAGAATGTATTTGAGAATTGCAGGGGGAGTTTCTGCAATGCCTATTCAACAAATGCACTGCCTCTTTTTTCAAATATCAAGCCTGAGAGAGTTTTCAATCTCTGCCACAGCATCTGAAGAAGTAGTATTCCACCAGCCCATCATAAGACAGGAGGTGAGGACCTACTAGAACTTTCATGGAGAGCTAGTCTCTGCCTATGAAAGATGTCACCATCCCTTCAGACCCAGGTGTTAGAATCAACTAAAGGGTTGTTAGACACCAGAAGCTGGGAATTTTGCCCATTTTCCCTAATGCCTGTATAAATAGAAGTTCTTCAATGGAGGGCCGGGGAAAGTTGATGAGGAGAGAGTAATGAGATATATCACCAAGGTAACATTATTCTATGATCAACACTTATAAATATTCTTATTTTGATGGCAAGTAGTTTTCCAAACTGAAAACAAGAAAAGATGACAAGTAGATGATAGAATATTTAACAGAGTTTTCTCTTTATTTGTTTTCAAATTGCTACCAAGACCAAATACTGAGACCAACAAGCTTTAAGGATCTTGAAATAAAGTCTTCATGAAATTAACTCTCAGCATTCGCTCCATTAATTACAGGGGGTTCTATTATAATTTTATGGTTTGGTCCTAAACAAGAATTACCAGGAAATCAGCTATGTGATGGTCATTCACACGACTTTAATTCTTACTGGACATTCATAATGTATCCTCTAGATTTTAATTCATCTTCCCAAGCAGCTTCTTTTTGGAGAGAGAGTTTTGCATTCATATAGTTTAGATAAACTGATGCTTATTTCCATGGACTGATTTCTGGCGAGTCTTGTTAATATTCAACTGCTTCTGAGATGTTTATGTCCTTGGACCTTAAAATTGAAGCCACTTAGTTCCTATCCCTCAGCTTAAGTTAAAGACTCTTTGTAGGTCTGGGAGTGGCATCCAAGTAAACTTTCAGACACCTCTCTGTTTTAGCTATAGACCACAAGAGATAAGCATAGCAAAGCAATTGGCAGAAAGGTAACTGTGGGCAGAATATACTAGTGACTATTTGTGATGTGGTACTAGGGATATTATAGTTAATGTTAGATGGATCTTTGCTGAAAGCAGAATGAACCAAAGGAATGTCTATCTGTGTTTCATTGACTATGCCAACATTTGACTGTGTAGATCACAACAAACTGTGGCTAACTCTGAGAAGAACTGGCATCCCAGAACACTTAATCGTGTGTGTGTGAAACCTTTACTTGGACCAGTAGACAGTTGTCAGAACAGAGCAAGGAAACACTGCATGATTCAAGGTGTACACCAGGGATGTGGTCTATCTCTATACCTTTTCAATCTATAAGCAGAAGATTATCTGAGCTTGACGGCACATAACAACAACAACATGTGTGACAAAAGAGACTTTTGAGTAAGAATAAGATGGGGAAAGTGGCTTTTGATCCTGACTTCACAGTCAGGTTTCCCAGGATCTTCAATCACTTGATCCTATTTCTGTCAGACTTATTTTTCCAATTTTTTTATTCATTAATTGTTGCACATTTCCTACTCTCCCCTATCCTTCCCCCTCCCATAGTCTATTTTGCAATGCACCTGTTGTTCCAGGTCATTATCATATATATAATGCCTAATCATATATTCCTTTCAGACAGTTTTTCTCCTCATCTGTCCAATGCCGTTTTCATTATCTATCTATCTATCTATCTATCTACTCTTTGCCAGTCTTATTTAATTCCTTTTCAACTTCTTACTTTCTGTTTCTAGTTGGGAAACATACTTTCTCTTCTCTATCTACTTGGATAGAAGCAAAGAGGTATAGAATATCTGCTCACCAAATATAAATCTATGTGCTTGCATCCATGGGAATCAAGCTTTTGTTAAAGGTGTTAATGCTCTTACCTGTCTTCCCAGTACCTTCTTACCTAATTGATTGCTGCTTATTTCAGTTGCTTTCTTATAAGCCTATCTCTACTGACTTCATTATGGCAAATTCAATACACATTGTGCCCATAATTGAGGGACCTTTCTTCATTGATGGAGCAGATTTAGAATTAGATGTTATTTTTCTCTTGGGTCAGACTTACATTATTGGAAAGATATAAATAGATTATCATCCCTGGAGATTTTCATGGGCAAAATGTCAGCAGTAATTGGGAAGTTTGTTTGTCCCTGGAGTTGTTCAGTTCCTCATTAGAAGGACAAACGGTAGTGATTCTGCGTTCCTATTTTATATGGATACAAAGAGTAGAAATGAGGGGAGTATGATTCTTGTGAAAATGTTGCACAAATTTGTACACTCAGCATTCCCTTTCTTAGTCTCTTTCTTGTTATAAGATATAGCACACTAAAGGTTTCACTAGTTGGGAAACTTAATTTAAAGAATGATTATAAAATGAAAAGGCAAAAAATGTTTAATAACACCTTTATTAAATTTATCCTCTTGCTGTGACATATTTTACCCTTTTCTCCAAATTCAATTCTGATGGTTTAAAGTAGTGATAATGTAAATACACACCCTGGGAAAAATATTCAGAACTGGCATACCTGACAAGGGACTCATATCTGAAATTTATAGAACACTCTAGCATCTCAACAAGGAAAAGACTAACAGCCCAATTACAAAATGGGCAGTTGATAGGAAAAAACTCTACCAGAGGTCAAAGAAACAAATGAAGAAATGCTCCAAATCTCTAGATGTTGTTGTTAGGTGAAGTCAAGTCATGTACAAATCATAGTGATTCTATGAACAACAGATATGAACCTTGTCCTATCCTGTGCCAACTTCACAATCTCTGAGAGATTCAAACGCATTTTGACAGTACCTATGTTGATTCACCTGGTTGAGGGTCTTTCTTTCCTTTGTCATTCTTCCACATACCAAGCATGATGTCCATCTCTGGGCAAATAATTTCTTCTACAACATGCCCAAAGTATGTGAGAAGACGCTTTTTTATTTTTGCCTCCAAGAAGCACTCTGGCTGCACCTTCTCCAAGACATATTTTTTTGTTCTTTTGGCAGTCAATGGTATATTACTCTTCTTCAACACCACAGCTCAAAGATATCAATTCTTCCATCATCCTTATCTATTGTCTGGCTCTCTGATGTATAACAAATGATTGAAATTTCATGACCTAAGTCAGAGGCACCTCAGTCCTCAAACTGACATCAAGTATGGGCTTGGTGACAGAAATGAGGTAAAAAATAGAATGATCATGCAGTTTTCCTCTGATCTGTCTCTTTCTCTCCAGACCAAGGAATCCCACCCAGAAGCTCCCTTCATAAAGCTTCTTTAGCTTGCTCTCTTTCTCTGCTCCCTTCCTTGAGTCCTTGGCCTTAGGTCCAGTGTGAAGACTTAACATTCTGGTGCAAAAAACCAGGGAGATGAGTTGAAGTGTGTTGTACCACCACTCTCTTTTGGGGCAAATGTGGCACCCCTCACTTTCTCTCTCTTGAACCTACCAGCACAGACAGTGACAAGACATCAAACAGAAATGGTCCCATTTCTCTCCTCTTCTCCCATTTTGTATGTATGTCTGCTGACCAAATGCTTTGAGTGCTTGTGAAAAGGTTCCATGGCTGACACTACTCTGACGCCATGGAGATGAATTGGGTCCCCACCCATGGTTCCGTGGTGTTGTCATAGGGCTTAGTGACAATTTGGGGAATGTTCTAGGGACCCCAGCTGGGCCTGGACTTGATACAGGCACACCTATTGCTAAGACACAATTTTACCCCATGAAGGGCACAGCCAGAGGGGTCATGGGCTGAGGGGATAGACCCTCTGTTGTCTATTTCCATCCATTTTGTGTTTATGTCCAGTCACCGGTAGTGTCCACTTTCCCTGAACTCCTCATTCCTTCTGTCCACTGCTGCCTCTTTTCTGGGAGATGATCTGCTGGGACTATCTGGTGCCTCCTCCCATCAAGGAATCTCTCCCCCTTTTGTTCTTGTGATTTCTGTATTCTCCTCTCCCCTTTCCTGAAGTTGTTAATAAAACTTCCCAGGTGTTTTAGCTTCCCAGGCATTTTGACCTTCTACACATTTTGGACTCCCTTGGAATTCAGGTCTGTCCATACTGGACTGTGTCTGCACATACCCAAAAATCACAGGCCTGCATCAGGAGCATACCCAATCACTGGATGCTTCTTCCAGGCTATTGATTGTGGTAGTGGAGGCCCACACCATCTTTTAGCCTATCCCAGAATCTGAGGTTTCTGGCTTTCAGAGGAAGCTCTGAAATCTCAGCTGCCCTCACCCATGGACCTGAACACCATGGGTAGCCCTTGGGTGCCTGGCTGAGAACTTCTGCCCCAAGAGACTAGTCTTTTACTGTAACCGAGCATTGTCACAATACCAGCTAGATAACAATTCTTGATAGCCTGAAAACTGGAATTTGACTTTAATACCCTTCAATATCTTGGCAATTTCTGCAAATGGACTCAAAGATGGTCAGAAACCCCATCTAAGCTTTCTTTTACTTTGGCTCCCATCTATATTTCTGTAAAACCTGCCAACCTGTGCAGGTTCTCTTAGCTCACCATAAAGTAACTTTTAGTATTTACTTTTATTTCTTTACTTTAATGTCTTTTCCAATTGTCTATCTTTGAAAAGCATTGTTATTCCATGATTTTTAAAGTGTTGGCATATGTGTATCTATATGTTTCATTCACATTAACTTTACCAAGTGACACCAAGCCTTGCTGCTTTTGAGCCAATTAAGAATATTGCAGTCATTAAAATGTAGTATTTTGGGGTAGTGAACATACACGTAATAACTTAATATATATAGACTACAGAACAAAAACTACCTTGAGAATAAAAGTTGAGATAACAACCTGCTTGGCAAGTTTGAGCTCACTGGGATACCACCTGCACCTCGTGGTGTTCCTCAGATTGAAGTCACATTTGATATTGATGCCAATGGTATCCTTAATGTTTCTGCTGTTGACAAGAGCACTGGGAAAGAAATCAAGATTACCATCACCAATGATAAGGGCCGCTTGAGTAAGGAAGACATTGAACGAATGGTCCAGGAGGCTGAGAAGTACAAAGCTGAAGATGAGAAGAAAAGAGGTAAGGTGTCTTCTAAGAATTCCCTTGAGTCTTATGCATTTAATATGAAAGCAACAGTTGAAGATGAAAAGCTTCAAGGCAAGATCAATGACGAGGACAAGCAGAAGATCCTTGACAAGTGCAATGAAATTGTCAACTGGCTTGGTAAGAATCAGACTGCAGAAAAGGAGGAATTTGAGCATCAGCAGAAGGAACTAGAGAAGGTCTGCAACTCCATCATCACCAAGCTGTACCAGAGTGCTGGAGGCATCCCCGGAGGCATGCCTGGTGGCTTCCCTGGTGGTGGAGCTCCTCCATCTGGTGGTGCCTCTTCTGGACCCACCATTGAAGAGGTTGATTAAAGCAATCTGCATAATTTATAGCATTCATTGTCCCACAGTTAAATTTTGAAGGACCCAAATTTGTAGCACACTGCAGTTGAAAAGTCTAAACTGCTAGGCTAAATTTCTGTGCATTCTCAATACTTGAATATGGAATGTGTAGAGGGAAAGGAATTAACATTGCACTTTATTATCACTGTATTGTAAGTGCAAAATGCAATGTCTCAAATAAAGATGTATTTAAAATTGGCACCATTAAAAAAAAGTTGAAAGTTTTAGCATAGTCTGAGATTCAAGAGGGAAAGCAAAATAACTGGTAATAAGTCTTGTGTGGTTTTTGTTTAAGAGGGATAATGAGAGTAATTTTGCTTTAAAGTAGAATGTCTGCTTATGCCAGAATATGAAAGATAGTAAAAGCTAAATTTGAAAGTGTGTAGTAAGTTGTATAAGGCTTGAGGAGAGTGAATTTTATTTGCTTTGATTTATAATACCTGCAAATAATGAGTTTGAAAAGAAACAAATGTTTTGAAATTTTTTTATTACATCAATTGTAATAAATTTATTCATGAGATGGGGAAAGACTAGTTTTAAACTGCAAAATACTCTGGATACTCTGGGAGATACTCTGGCTATTATTACTTGCCTACTTTCCAATAAGCATCCCTTTGTGTTCACTTGCAATACGTTGATCTTTCATTGTGTCACAATCAAACAATAAATTGTGTAAAAATAATGTGACACAAGAAAATGCATACATGACATGAGAATGTGGGTTGTTGGCCTCCAAGGCATGAGCCAATCACAAACAGACCCATGTAACAGTTCCCTTCATCCACCAATCATGTTCTCAACTGCCTCACCCTGGTCAAACAGCCCCATTTCAAGACATAAAAAGGCCTGTGTGCCCTTTCCCTAGGGTCACCACTTCTATTGAATGGTAGACCCCTGCATACTGGAGTTTGTTCTGTAACATAAAGCACTCTTGCTGTTTGCATATGTGAGAAAGTGGTCTTTCAGGCTGCAATTTATGGGCCTAACAGTAAGGTGTAGCCAGGTGAGATTACTGTCAGGCCACACAGAAACAGAAAGGGTGTCTTTAGATGCTGGGAGCTGCCCCCTCCTTCTTTGGAAAAGAAGTGCCTCAGCTGGGTGAACTTCCTAGATGATCACATTGCAAACCAGAAAATACTTCAATGACTAGGAAAGGTGAGCTTTTCCACTGCACAGGACAAGAATGGACTTTCAGAATAAGAGTTTCACAGTAAAGTGGAC